ATTGGACAGAAACAAGAAAGCTTTCCTATAAGCGAAAACCCCCTCAGAAATCAAAATCCCCGCGATTGCTCTTGTGTCCGTAATTTTGCTCCACCCTGCATATTTAATTTGTAGCATAATTTGCTATTTGACCTGAAATCATAATAGATGACCCAAAATGAGCCGATGCTAATGCCCATGATTAGAATTCTCAATCTGTTGCTGTTCATTTTGAAAATAATGACCCATTGAAGGTTCAACTGGTAGGCAACTGAAGCCCTGAGTGGTACCTACAAATGTTATCGAAACATACCATTAATAAATGTCTTTATCAATAGAGCTTTCTTCCTCTGCGGATATATCATTGAATGAGAATCCAACATTATTAGCGGCCGGATAAGTTATGCCAAGAATGATATCGAAGCAAAGTGAAACAGTGTTCCTTCACTGAGTCGCAAACTTTGCAAGGTAGCTGTCGTAGCTTGATAAAAAAATAAACCAATTTTTATCTGCTCAAAGATTAGTACTCTTAGTCGGTCCCTATCACTGCGCTCACCCTTCCTGTCGAATGGAACAAATCAGAGAGTCAAAGCTATATCTTAAATAACAAAGGCGTTGGATATGATTGATGATTGGATCTTGTTTTCCAAGGCCTCTTCCATCGTCAGTGTTCCCATCGTGCCTCCTCTACCCCGATGGGGAACCTGTCCCTTGTGGGTCCTGCCACCCACCATAAGTGTTCCCATCCTGTCGTCCGTAACCCTACCGAGCTGGTAGGCCCTAGGGCCAAATTGACAATTTCCGCGAAAATCCCGCCCCCTGCGTGTGGAGTCCGGTCGTGCTATTCACCCTTAGTGTTCCCACCCTGCCTCCAGTACTCCTACCAAATTTGGACGTTCTAGATCTAACCAAATTTGGACGTTCTAGATCTACAGGAAAAGTGTTATGCATTTCTGCTAAAACGGCGTCCACTGTGGGCGGAGTTCGGTTCTGCTACCCACCACAACTGTTCCCATCCTTTTTCCTATAGTCCTACCAAGATTGAACGCGCTAGGGTCAAATTGAAAATTTTCACTCCTAGCCCACCTCTTGTGGGCGGAGTCCGGTCCTGCCATCCTCCATAAGTGTTCCCGTCATGTTTCCCGCAATTTTACCACGTTTGAACGCCCTAGAACGAAATTGACTGTTTTCGCGCAAACTGCGCCCCCTATGGGTGGACTCGGTCCTTCCAGCCACCATAAATGTTTCCATCCCGTTTCCTGTAAACCTAGCAAATTCGACCTTTCTAGCTCCACAGAGATAGGAGTTATGAATTTCTGCTCAAACCCCGCCCATTGTGGGCGGTGTCTGGTTTTGCGACCCGCTATGAATGTTCTCATCCCGCCGCCTGTACTTCTTCCAACCTTAAACTTTCTAGGCTCACGGGGACAGGAGTTATGATTTTTCGCCCGAACATTTATTTCGCACAACCCCGCCCCTGTGGGCGTGGTCCGGTCCTGCAACCCACGGTGTTTCCATCCTGCCTCCAGTACCCCTACCAAGTTTGAACGTTCTAGGTCCATGGGGACAGGAGATATGAATTTCCGGTCGAACGCACACACTTACAAACACACACACAAACACCCAGACATTAGAGCGTTATATAAAGTAGGATCGTACCGGTATTCAATCAATGCTCGCCAAGGCCAACAAAGCTTTTCATCCCTTCCATCGGCGAAATCGTGCTATACTTGTCTTAGAGAATGGAAGCACTGGCTTTTACATTATTCGACCACCAGTCCGCAAGTCACTGTACAGAACTCGTACATATCCTCAAAGCGCCACTTCGATTGCCATCCAAACAAAGGTTGATTGCTGAAGTGCGTACCGATTACTCAGAAAAGGGATTGGCTTACGTCAAGATTACAAAGTTGAAACTTTATTGTGGCGTATTCGGTTCTACAACGAGCTCGTGCACAAGTCAGTGTTTTTACGTTTCGATACGGAGCTGCAGCCCATGCCTACTTTTTCGCTTTGCCCTTCAATTAGTCGTATGTGGAGGAAAATCGTCTGATGTCCCACGAAGAAGCAGTGATAAGCCTCAGTTAGCTTGATTTATCTTTACACGGAAATCCATTTACAATCGGCTTTGTCATTAGCAGTATCCACGCAGTATGGGTTTTTTCACCTAGATCCGCTTATAGAGTTCTGCGCGAGGGTGATGTCAGCATGTACGAATGAAGAAAACGCATTTGCATACGCGAAAGTGCTACAGTGAAAAAAATCTGTGAAGAAAATGAGCGAATGTTATGGGCCTCTCCGATCCTTCGAGAGCATATAATGTGCGAGTACCATTGAAGCAAGAGTACTGTAGGATAAATTTTTGAAGTTTTCCGCTTGAGGAAGAAGTAGCCATTACTGACGAATGACTAATCTACTAACTTATATTCAGGGCGCGCCATAAATACGGTAGCAAAACAATTGTTGTTTGAAACAGCAATTCATATTGATACATGGTGACATCAAGTTAACTAATAGGTTGGAAGATAAGTCCTGCAACACTGAACATGTTCTCCCAGGAAAAAACTAAAACCCTTTTCAAATGATTTCGCGCCTGGTTGCTGTAGAGTTCCTGAAGGATTTCGAAAATGGGCATAAAGGGGCTTCGTGAGTAGGTTCCTCATGAGCTATTAATTTTTATACTTTTCTCGAAAAAATAAGCGATATCGCTCCGGTGGCAGAAATTTCAACCAAACAGTCAGGAGGGAAAATGGCAAGGGGAAACGATCGTACCCTTCTCAACGGCACACCTTTTGTAGTGAGAAATATACGTATACGCTGGAATCCGAAAGTTTCTGCTACACTTAACACGTCGTCAGAAAAATGGCTCTCCCTCTAAAACTTTTCCTCTTCGAGAAACTGTAGGGCCTTCGAATCCTATTTGGATACAATTGGGTTTACTTGGGTAAGGCTTTTTCAATGAAAGTAGAACATGCATTAAACTTGACAGCCATTTTTCTCGTGTTTCTACAAGTTTCGTAGCGTAATCGTTCCCAAACAGTTGTGTTCGGGAAAGGGAGTCGTGATTGAGACAAGACGACGTCTTAAGGCTGGCTGTTGTCCTATCCATGTACCGCGATACAAGTGACTGTCATGCAAGAAATGTCGAAACGACGAGCGATTCAGAAAAGGGCTCACCAAATACGCACTTCGAAAAAGAACTCAACAAGTGCGCGCAAGGACCGAGCGGCTGTCAGATATTTGCGATGCTTTGCGACTTTTCGAAAAAAAGGACTGATAGCTTGCATCAAAGCAGATACGTGAGCTGAGGTATATCATAAACATAAGGGAAAGGGGATAATTGAAATAAGAAAAACTCGGAAACAAGAAAATTGCGCATATTCGAGCAGTTGTTGCTGTCTAGCTACCCGGTACGCGCGCTCTGGCAGTAGGGAGGAGGTGGTGTAGTGGTATGTGGTGCACTATCACACACGCATGATCACGGGTTCGAATCCCGTGGCGATCAACCAAGCCTTCCATCCCTCCGGGATCGCTTATTTGGTACCAGACTCGTCTGGGAGGATATAAGCATTTACGTACACATCGGCTAGCCACCGCAGGTCATTGTATAGGTCACATACCCATTTAATACGCCACTACGACTTTAAATGGAAGTCGAGTGCGAGGCGCATAGCTCAGACGGGAATGGTTAACTTCCCAAAACTTTATCCTTTGTCCTATGGTGGCACTTCGGCCGTCGAGAAGCTAGCTTCATTTATTCTTGGGACAAATGTGATAGAACGTCTCGGGAGCGTTTTCCTTGGACCTTCCTCGACTTCTTACTTCACTCACAGGTGGCCTCAAGTTGCTCTGTAGAATATTGACGGTGGAGTTCACTCGAGGTGGAGTAATCTTATTGGGCGCTATTTTATGTTTCTTCAAAGTTTTATGAGTACTAGGTCTTCCTTCCACTCCCTTCCATCCATTCTTCCGTTATCTCTTCAGTGAGAGATGAATCAGAAGAGGTGATTGGGTCACTTTTTGCATTTTTTGGCTTTGATTACAGGGCAGCTGTATTTGCTAATGTAAACGTCGAGCGTAGTACAAAGCAATGTAATGAGTTGCAGAAGTGTTCGTAGAAATGAAACAAATGGAACAATTTTTCTTAAGTTGTGGATTACAAATGCTACATTTGTATTCCACAACTTTATAAAAAGCCAACTCGGTATACATTACTTTTAGACGTGCCGTAAAATCGGTCGCAGGCATGTCAAAGTGACATTTTTACCACTTCTCAACGGCACAAACAGTGAAAAATGCTACCTAGGAGAACAAATACAAGGGAAATCTAGCTGTCATCCAATCGAAGGAAAAATGTTCCACTATGCTCTCCCGCATTCTTTACACCCTACCAAGTACTTGTAAAAAAAGCATGATAGAAAACTAAAAGTAAAGTTCTCAACAACACAACGCTTCAGGCTGCTGAACAGAATCGTTCTAAGTTGAAGTTACAGTTGATTCAGATAAAAGATCGTCAGCTTTGATCCAAGTAGAATTTTTTTCCATTTCTTTAATTATACTCTTTCCGGTAATTTTGTTATTTGGGAAAGTAATTACTAGCTCTCATATGTAGACGAATAAATGGGTATCTAAAAAATTTGATCGCGAAAGCAATTGATTCGTCTCCTCACTATTCTGCTCAGAAAATTTTCAACCACCAAAATGACCAGTTTTTTTTGGCAGGAAGAGTCGTCCAGCTTTTGTGTTGGGAATTTAAGGGGAAAATCCAGTTTACGCAAGGAATACGACCTGGGTCAAAGAATCCAGTGACGGACTGCGGCAAAGTAGTAGAATCGCTGACATAGACTTCCACTAACCTTTTAGTTGATAAAAAAGTCGGAAAGTACAGAAAAAGTTCAGATTTATTTCGATTTTTCGACCGTAAATCAATCGATAAATCAGTCAGTGCTTCTATGATTCTGGACGAACTCGGAATGCTTAGAATTTGTGCACTCACATTGGATTTACAAGCATTATTTTAAACTAATTTAAAAAAGAAAACTTCCGCAATGGGTATAGCTGCATCGAGGTCTGGCTCGAGCGGGCCATCTAGTAAGATTCCCAGCCATATGTTTAGAGCTGGACCTTGTACTTCTTCACCTCAAATCCTAAAGATATACTGTTCAGGTTGAGATCTAAGGTTGCACTTAGTATAACACAATATCCAATTGTTTGATACAGTGATGTTCAGGCATTGTTGATTGCCACGATTTAATATTCAGCTATTTCAGGCAATTCAAAATTTCTATCACCGACGACGGCTTCGTAGAATCGCACCATCGCCACGAACCGCTGACGAGACCTTACGGCTTTTCATAACGTCAACTTTATACCATGGGTATGACCTTCTGAAGAAATCACCATCGACTCTTCTTGAGGTACGTTTTTTCTACTCCATGGTCTCGTTTTTGGTCAGATCAAAAGGGATCTTTACGGCACCATCCGAGCGTGCTGTCAATGACTCGTAATCTTATGAGGTTCTCGCATTGAGCACTGCGATGTAACAGCAACTGGCGGAAACATCGAGTCAGAATTTCTTCTTGCTTCGACAAAAGTTTATTTTACTCAGAATTTCCAGAATGCTCCATGTTGTTGACTAGTCGACAATGTATCTACAAGCTCTTCATTCGAATTCCCATTCTGGGGCAAAGGACGGATAGCATTTGTTCTATTGTTTTGGTTTATTTTCGTTTTAGAAAGAGATACTGTAGAAAGCATTTCATGGCGCGGTGGCTATTGATTAATAGATGAGATGTTTCACTAAGGTAAAGTGGAATCCAATAGGATATTGAGGCACTTCTATGATTCTCTCATGACTCTGAAACAGAGTGCTGGCGTCAGTCACTCCCTCTAGATCGATTCCTAGACAAATTTCCGAACAGCTCTGCAATTTACAATAAAAAATGGTGATTTTATACCACGGAATCCTAGGAAAATGGTCTTTGAAGTACAGCGAAAAACTAAATATCGTGGCATTTGCGGAAGATTTGATTTGAAATGCAAACTTATGATTACAAAAAAATTATTTACGCCCAGTCGCGTGATTGCAAGCATGGTTCATTTCTGCGAAACGGATTTCTGCGAAAAAATTTACAAGATTATTTTTGCATTTCGATGAAAAATATCAGAATAGACTTCTCTGAAAAGAGTTCGTCAACAACCGAATTAGGATTAGCAAAGGCAGATAGAAGTTTCAGACACCTACCAATCTCTAGTAATTCTACAAAATCCTTCTGCATACTCATCAGTGCTAATGGATTTTGTGATTTTTTTTTAAGCTGAAAAAATTCCTAGCCGTCGTACCTCACATAACAGAATGTGTTATTCAGCATCCCTCCTTATGGTCGAGGTTATACCCCGAGAATATCTCAGGTCTGTTCCCAAAACACTTGCATGTAAGTAACCCCAGAACATCCCTGATTCTTCAACTGTTTCTGATTCCTCCCATTGGTGTAATTCCAAGAGCTTTGATACTTCATTTTTTCACATAACAGGTCTGATTGCCAATTTACATGAGCTTACCTACAAACAACTTTTCTATAGGATTAATTAACGAACTTTATCACGACAATTTCAATAGGATTTTGAATAATTCCTGAGATTATTATAGTTCTCAGAGTAATCATCCTCACTAAGGACCTAGATCTGGAATATCTTGAAAGCAGAGGCTGTAAAAATGATACGGACCAAATGAATTTGGCAATGGTTCAGTATCAAGCGGAATCCAGTTCTCCCTTGACGTTGTTACTGTTCCCTCGCTAGTACTATGATGTTACCAATCTCTGACTGATGTTTTCCAGTAAATCCTGTCCATAACATGGTTCTCGAAGTAATTATTGTGTATAACTTGAATGACCAGTTTGGATCGCAGTCGACTGTCTCATAGGAGTTATAAGTAGTTGTAGTAGTAGTTAGTGTGTGGTACAGCACTCCTTTCTAGTCTCAATATTCATCGGAAAAACTCCGAAGAGGGGTCCAGAGAAACGTTGCACACCTGCGGTTGAATTCCATATCTGTGTCTCTTTCTTTGGTTTCCAATTTTTTTAACAGTATCAAACATTCCCGCAGTTTAGTGATGAATTAGCTACGCTCTTTTCTTGAAAGTCATCTGGCTTTGACAAAATAAAATCGTTAGCGTTTTTGCCATTACCCAAGAAAATCATATTTTCCACGAACCATTTTCATCCATTTTCCAATTTGCAAAAAAAAAAAAAAGTGATTTCTGAACAAATGATTGTCTGATAAAGCAGCTACTGACGAACAAGGCCTATAAAGCATCGTTATTTTTTTTTTTCGTTTGAACTTTTCCAGCCCTTACATGACTCCACATGAATCGAATAAAATGAAGGCAGCTTTTTCCAAGAAGTCGGCTTAGGTCGCCTCAGCTGCACGTTCACAAGTTCCATGAATTCACAGCGAACTGAACCTTCTATCGGAAAAATAGGAAAAGCGACGTCGATGTGTAATCATACAACAGTTTGAAACTGAAGAATTCCAAAGTGCCTGTTGCCATTTTCGAATTTCCAATGTTTCGCAGCTTCTGATGGATTAATCCGACACATTTTTCAGCTTATGAGCACAATTTATCTTATGAAGCTATTAAAGGTTGATGGCATGGCAAATACAACTTTTGGCCTTCAAGTTGGATGAAATATGTTTAGGCACACGTGCACTTTGCACTGAAGCCGACTCACCACTGATGTCGGTTCATGGCTCTGTTGATCCCTTCATCTAGAAATGTTAATAGAAATTAAATATCATATTTGAACTGTACTGAAATGAGTGGCTACGAATAAAGCAGTTGTCATTAACTACCTACCTCGATTTAGTAGTAAGATCGCCCTCAAAGACGCCTCGTAAACGGTTTGCGACGTGCTAAAGTGGATTTAAAGAAATATTGATGGAAAGGGTCAGTAAGGCCGGCAGGGTAGATATGTTGGAAAGAATAACAGGTAGTTACGGAACAAAAAGCGCTTCACAGCTCGCTACTTTGTGTAGGAGACCAGCCCTATCCGCCCCGAATGAGCCACGCACGGGACTTTTACTCAGGAACGTAAGACCATCTTTCTTCTAACTTTGATTTGGTTCTAGTTGCAAACTATAGCTGCCTTGTTCTCTCTTGACAGTAGACAAATTCTGTGTTTAACATCAAAATCCCCTATTTTTCTTTTCAGTTTCATATGGAGGATCATTATTAAGCAAATTGGTGACGACATCCCTCTCATTAGCCGATTCTGTTCCTGTCCATCTGCGCCGTTCGGTCTCTTCATTGAATAACGTCTACACGTTTTTCGCATGAATAATTCGTTATTTTTCGTTGGCAAATTGTTCCCTCTCTGTGCCACGTGACTCACCCTTTGACTTTGCATGAAGAAAAATTCTTTGTTGGGTTTTGTCATCTGCTGAGCTCACGGAAATGTTTGTCATGCAATGGATTTGAAGTTTTTCGATCTGATAGAACCCACGCAACCTTTCAAGTCTAATGGATTCCTGGTGGTACTAGATACCGAAAGAGCGGGATATAAACGTTTTCGTAGGCGTAGCGGGATGAGAAAGAGGAGGATTTGATGTTCTGCTATTGATTCTGTTTGGGTCTGCACCCACGCGGTTGACTACCATTTAGATTTGTGTAGGCAAGTGAATGCAAATTTGGCATATACTTAATTTAACTCAACGTTTTTGTTCTGCTGGACCAGTCTGGAACCAAATGCGCGAGAACTTTAAAAATTCCCCAAGTTCCGGTGTCCGTGTGGATTGAAATGTTCATTTTTCTGAATTGGCATTTGTACTTCTGGTTTGATTGCGTTCTGGACTCTGGACTAAGGTTCAAATCTCGACAGGAATGTTTTGCCTTCACCCCCTGGAAGTCTTTGCAAGTATTACCTCATTTCTTTACCGATATATTCTGTTCCTTCAGGTTTTGAACGGGCGTTTCTACCAGAAGACCCCAGACAAAGATATTTCACCTATGGCCAATTACTGCTGAATGGAGGATGGAAGAAGGGCACATTGAACATTTCTTTCCATACATGTGAAGAGAGGAAGTGGCATGGCTTAATCCTGTTTGCCAGCCATTTGCCCCCACATCTGAGTAACTTTCAGTGACTTGTTGGTTTTTCTAAGTGTCGACCGACCAATATGACTACGTAATCAATGCAAAGCTCGCATGTCGAACTTCAGTAATGAGACCAGAGTTCTGAATTGTCGAAAACAGTGATTAATTGGTTCGAAAACGCCGTCAGCTTCATCATCGCATGAGGTGATGAGCCTGGCATTCGACTTCTACTCCGGATTTTAGTAGCAATGATGACACCCTTAATCCTTTCGAATATGCTGGACGAACTGGCTCCATTTCTTTTCCTTGTAGGGAACGGCTTTCATGCCTTTATGAAATTCATGTCTGAAATATTGCCTTCATCAAAATGGCTTCGTTCATGGGACAGAACATAGTTGGAAAAGAGTATCTCCATGGAACTTCGCTAGTGTGCCTAGTGTTACAAGAGTTCTGGCTTTCCAGCAGCATCTTGAAGTGAAGAGTTTATTTTTTCTGTGAAATGAGTCGTCGCTCAGTTTACGCCTGACAGCTTATCCAGCCGCTGAGCATAAACAAGTTGTTTATCGGATCAGATAATGCATTATTTATGTTTATTATTAGAGGATACTCATTGGCATGTCTATAGCAACTTCCCTGTGGCCGCTGTGACGTTTGATAATATTTGACGTCTATGGGTAGTCTGAATGAAAGTGTATGGACATGAAAAAAGTTCGAAAAACGTCATGTGAATGGGCTGTTCATAGCAAAGAAGATAGCAGAAAAAGCTAGCGCGAACCAAAATTAGCTTTCCAACATGTAAACACTCATATGAAAGAATAATTAAATCGACTTCAGTGAATCCTTTTAGTATATATCGCACTTTCAATATTCGACAGTGACCCTAGGGACATTTAATTATGCATTAGGCCACGTAGTTCTTCAAAAGATTTTGCTTGATGCAGCTGTCCTCTTAGGCTAACTCAAATAAGTAGCTGACCCCATGGAGTACATCTGCCTATGAACTTGTAGTTTCTGAAAGCAACTAGCGTCACGCAAAACTTATTCGCGCAAAGCTGACGTCAGACATTTATTATCCTCTGAGAGAACTATTTATGTCGTTTTCAAAAAAAAAAAAATAGAGCTCTCTAGTTTTCTGTAGTGGATTTGTGATCACTTAAGGTAACGTGTCCAGGTGTCCAACCAGCTGCTTTTTTATACTCTCGATTGATTCCGGGAAATCAAAGGCACAAGTCCACTTAAAAATGGTTTCTGAGATTTCCTTCTCGGACAAAGCAGTGACCCTACAAACAGCCTAAGGGACGCTTTCTGGTTGAAAACGGTCAAGGTAGGGCTAGTAGGGTTCCCAAAACCGGTTTAGCCGCTGTGCATACCCAAGGCGGACGAGAAAAAGCTGTAATGGTTGCAACTTATGTACCGGGACCCGCAGCTTGCACCAGGCAGCCTGCTGCAGCCAGCTGTATGCAATGGTGCGCACATTTGAACAACTCGTCCAAATGCCTCCTTCATGCAATTTCGCCCCCAATTCTCGTCCTACTACTAATTTTGCTTCCTTTATGAGGTCTCTATTTCTCTTAACACGCGAGTTTTCACTTTTTCCTTCACTTTTGTACTATCTGGACTATAGCCCCCTTTATTCGGTCCAGAATAAGTGCCCCAGAATTATCGTGAACTGTGCCTTCGAGGCAGGGACGAATTTGACGACGAACACTTTGCGAACGACACCCTTTGACAACACCGCGCTTTGCGGCTTACACAGCCCGAGGGCACAATCGGTCAACATCCGCATAACTCAGACATTTCCTCCTACCAGGTTCGATGAGGCTGAATTGGCGGATGGTTTCTAATATGGGCCAGGTTAGCGCTCCACCTAATGTTTCGTTGGATCTATAAATCTTCGAGTTCCATCGCATTTTTTGCTGTTTGTGGGGTGTAGAAACTGGCGTTTGGAGCTAACGAACGCTCCATTACGCTTGAATTATTCCGGAGGTAATATAAATGAGCTTGAAATTGCGCAAAAGGCGACCAGTTTCTTTAATTTATCGCATCTTTGTGAATGAACCGTCCTCATTAATTTGAGAGAACCGATGATGACGCTCTGAGAAGGAAACGACCAAATTTTCTTGACATCTTCATCTATTACATTATATGAGACAAATGTATGTTGAGGGTCTACATACCCGCGTGTAATGTGAATCCTCAAACGACAAGACAAACTACGATTGTTAACAAGCATCTGAACATTACCAACACTCAGATACTGTTCTAGACAAACACAAACTGCAGGATATGAAGTGTGCGATGATGGTCCGTATCACAAAAAAACACAAAAATGGTACACAGTTGAAGAAAATGGGGAAAATAAGAGAGTATGCGGATCTCATGAAGGATTTATCCTTGAGATCGATCTTCCAGAGGTTTTTGTTGGAATGAATGACTAGACACAAGTTCCATGGGTCTACATAATCGAATCGACCAACGTAAGTATAAAAGGCCGTGGTGTACTCTACTAAGGCTAAAATTTTGGTAGAGAGTCTACAAGCACCACGGCGAATGAAGTGCACCTCTAATAGACTACAAAGATTTCTCGAGGAATTGATCTATTATGATCACTGGTTATCCTGACGAACACCGTACAGATAGCCTTGGAAAGTGTTGTGTGAATTGCATCGATCGTAATTGCAGACACAGCGGAATAGGAATTCCGGTCGTGCAAAACGTGGCGACAGTTTGGCCAAGTCGTATTTCTGAAAGTGCATTAACCTTACATATTGTCATCCGAATAGAGAAATAAAACTAAAGGCGGTACCCATTGCGCGGCTTTGTCATTGGAGAGGAAGTCCCGTGCTTTTGGAGTCTTTCCATGTTCCACGGGCGTCGTGTTGTTACCAGTTATTTACTACCAGCTGCCCCTGTTCATAGTTGAGTGACGCTCACAACTGTTGACCATCCTTCATGAACAGGTGGCAGGAAGTTCCCCAGCCATAGAATCAGTCTCAGGTCACTACGGAGGGTAGCAATTACGGTAATTACATGGAAAGATGGAAGGTCTCTGTGCGCCACGATCTTTCGAACAGTAAATTCCCAATGCCACTATCGATGTCCAAGGTGTGAAAGTTGGAGGACAGACTACTGGGAGTACTGTGTTCCCTTGGTCTCATCCAGGAAAATGGTAGTTATCATATAACTCACCTCGTATATGCAGACTGAGAGCACTTTGTAAAGAGCGTCAGATTGGTTGAAGGTGCTATCGTAGCCGCTTAGGCTTTCCACGTCCTGTCCTGAAATCTTCATTATTAGGCCTTGGCCAAAAATGAAGAAACTACGATTCGCTTGGCTTCGACATACCGATGCCGAACACCCTCCCTTGAGCTCGATCTGTTTCCGGAATGAGTGCACAATAGGTCCATTCGTCATTGGAAACTTCTTTGACATTACCCTTCAAAAAAAAAAGGTCTTTAAAACGTCCGGTACAAAGTTCACACGCACCCATTTTTGTCCCTGCCTCCCACGTATGCTCAATATTCCATGAGTTTAATTGCAATTTTCAGGTCGAGCAGAGCTATTCTCATTAGTAACCGAGTCACATCAGTCGCAAAGAGATTAATTGGATTTGATACCGCTATTTCGGGTTCGTCGATGTCACGTACGTTGAAAAAGTGGAAACTGAGTCTGGATGAATTCCAATGAGTTGGCTTCCCGAACAGGAAAAATTCGCATTGTTCCAGAGCTGAGTGAATGAATATTGAATAGTATGGGAAGGATTCGTACCGTTCAGTCTTGGGTCTTTTATGGTTGCCTCAATCAGGTAAAGGAAGATCGGTAATTAGCTTCGCTTGTGATATTAGCATATTTTGAGCCAAGGAACGAAATGGTTTCATTCCCGGTCAAGGTCGCTCTTGGATTGTTGGCTTTACCCATAGTTTAATCTATTTATAGACTCCTTTCTATAATTGAGCTCCACCGTTTAATTAAAATTCTACTAACGCTTTTGCTGAAAGCAATCTTTGAAGGGTAATTGTTTTTCTCTCAGCCCATTTAAGGGGGTAACGTTCATCGGAATGATTATTATCCGGAACGCAGTTACTCTATGTGGATACATTCATGGAAGGAGTGAAGAGGACTTACGTCGTCGTCGTTCTCATAACAGACCAGAGCCTTTGATGTTGACATGATCGCAAAAATGAATGCCACCAATCGAAGCATTGTTGACGATCGAGGTCACTAGTATGGTGTGCCACACGACTGGCGTTGAACACTGTCGGTCTCACCACGACGGCTTTTATTCAGGATGGGCGGGGCCGAATTGGCCTACCGACTTATCGCTCTCCATCCCTCTGCACTCTCGCATCCTAATTATATTATTTACACGTTTTAGGCAGTATTGCAAACTCGCGATCATCTCTAAACTCTGGAAGAGCCACCATTTCTTCTCTATGACTAATAATAAATCGGTAGAGAGGTAAGAGAAATCGCCTCCAAGCAGCGCAGTTCGAATGTCTCCAGCATTTTTCTACTCTGGGTCTTCCTCTTTAGAACTGTTTAGTTGCTCCATTTTCATGAAGGGCGGGGTCTGCTGTAGGGAACACTGCTCTGAACTATGAACGACTTTTTTTTGTAAAGGATTTTCCATGGAATGGAACGCCTCCTTTGAGTATTTTTTTCGGAATGGTTATCCTCTCACTCTAAGAAGATTTGTCCTACTTCACAGTTCTCGTAAGCGAGGAATTAGCTGTCATAAATTGATGGATGGTGGATTGCGGGGCGGTTCAGGAACGTGAGGAAGTGTACTCAAGAGATCCGTTTTGACTTGATGTTCTTGTTAACCGAGGCCCCGTCTAAGGCCGAAGTTTTGCTCGTGACTCGCCGAACTTGTGACACACAGGAGATATTTGGAGAGGAAGTAAAACCGATAATCAAAGATACAATTTGTTGACACACACGAAAACCATCCGCGTATACTATTATTAGTACCCAACGATAACAACTGTGAAGTAAAACGCACGATATTAGCTCAGGAGACGGAGATTTCAGTGAGAGAAAGGCATTGGAGGCGTTCCGAACTTCCAAAAAATCCTAAAATGAACGGTAGAGATGAGTGCTCGTCCATAACCAACGATCTTCTGCCGTATATACCGCACTGCGACTTGTGATTCAGTAGGATTATAACATGAGTTTCCTTAACACAAGTATAAAGGAGACAGCAAGAAGTCTCATTCGCTAATGACAGTCGCCTGTGGGACAGTGGATTCTTATATCCGCCTGAGCCTTTGTGAGTTATGCTTCGAACTGTGGGTTTCAAATTCGTCGTCACATTCGCTAGAGGGGATGATGCGCTCTTTGGGTACTGAGCAAATCATCTTGAGTTGTTTTAGGCCTCTGAGGAAGACGATAGCGTCGAAACGTTATGCCTTTTACTTTAAAAAATTTCCACCAAAGAGTCTCGCATAGCATGAGAACATTCTAGTCACAACTAGTATTACTATACTGTCTTCTAGAATTCTTGAGGTCATTCATTCTACAGATTAGCAAGTTGGCGGTATTATCATTCTCGATACCGACCAGCCGGCCTGAGAGACAAATGAATGTATGGTATAGTTAGTTAGCTTTGCTATCGGTGTCCATGGAGTTCGCGCCACTTGGTACTATTGTACTTTTGCTCAGTGGCCCAAATCTTAGGTCGCTAAAAAAAGTTCGACAGCTGCAGTTTTTTTTTCGGCTCTTTTGTACCAAACTGAGCCAACATTAGTATCATCAGTATAATTTACATCACTATAATTTAGTATTTTTGAAACGCGAGTTTTCAAGGCAGTGTCTTATAATCCTCTGCCGTACTGGTTTGCTATGTTAGAATCGCACAATTTTGTCGGTGTTCCCACCATATAAAACAACAATGTTATCAAGAACCTAAGAATAGTTCGGAGCTTTTGATTTGTGACTTACCCGGTCAAGCACCTAAGTACGCCAAGCCAGCTGCCGCAACCTCCAGAAAATCGGATAACTGTAATGGTGGGTTTGAGGTTGAATTGTAGGAATTCAATTTCCAATTCCACAGGTATTCTGGTGTTTGTGTGGAAGTGGCGTCATCCTAGCGTCATCCACCTACTGAAATTGAATATGGATGCTTTTTATGCATCATACAGCTCTTGGTTCTCATCCAACCTTCCCGTGATGCGCCTCGACTTCGGTTCACTTTGTTTTCTTCTTATCTGACTGTAGATCATCCTACCTTTTGTTTCGGACCATGCTTTACTCCTACTCGACTTCAGTTTGTTGAGTTAAAGTGGTTAGGAAATTGTAGTGGTGCATCTAAGCCTGCACCAAACAAATTTCAGATACCACAGAAATGAGTGAATGAGTTTACTTGTTATGGCCGAGCACTCATTTCGGTTGTTTAGTTTGAGATTTTGGCGCGGCATGTAACGTTTCTGATATCTTACTCGCACCGACCGCATTCTTATAGTTTAGTGTTTTGCACTCAATGTAAAAGTCACTGACCTGATGTTCTTTTGGTCGATACCTCCCAAGCAAATACTATTTCCTTTCCCTGCAGTTATTCCCGCTATGCTTCACCTGAAAGGCAGGCCTCGACCAGGCAGACGCATTTTTGAGATGTACATCTGATTTGGCTTGCGTGGACGAGTCCTCCTGAAATTTCTCCAAGTGCTGGAGTAGAAACAGGAACAATCGAATAGATTCCCGGATCTACTGCGAGTCAATCCTCCAATGGGTCTATCGGGTAAATTTTTTTATTGCATGAAAAAATTAGGGGATTACGTCTTTGGGAATCAATTTATCCCGTATGAGGGATGCGCCCCGCACTCGACTTCCATTCAGAATGGTAGTGAATGCGTATGCGGCCGATACAATGGCTTGCGGTGGCAAGCCGAGTACAAGTCAGCCCATTTACCCTAGACATGTCTGGTAGCAATCAATCACCGCGGGGGAGTGGAAGGCTTGGCTAGCCGGGCGGAGATAGATCCAAGGTTCGAACCCGTGAACATGCGTATGTGATAGTGCGCCACCTGCCATCGTAAGAGTTTGTTCCAGTGACACCAACATAAAGTATAGCCCCTCTACTGGGCTTATACATTGAGGGGTCATGGTGAGTTAATAGTATATAGAAGTTTACACTGCTTTATAGTTTCTCCTCTGTATTCATAGTCATAAAAGTACTAAGATTTTACGTTACAACAATGTTCACTTTATCGATGCGCAACAGGTCTCTCGATTACAAGTACTCCAGCGAAATCCATATAGATTAGCGATCAACTCCAAGAACATATTAACTAATTTGATGGTTCGTGATGCTTTCGGCTTAGGCAGATGATCTCGGTCATTCCACTAAGTCGTGCTTTGATTTCCATGATGACGTGCGAAGCGAGTGGTAGCTCTGTAAGGAGGCTATGATGGCTCAAACGTAGTAACCAGAATTCATCACCAAAAATCTACGGGATGCTCTCGTGATCATGACTGCGTCTCTTACTGATGCCCGATACATCCGTCCTAGCAAATTCAGCTTGACCCAATCTACCCCAAAATACAATAGTAGCAGGTTTTTATTCGTGTTTCATTTTCCTTGAGTTTTCCCCCAGGAAATGGATATATGGCTGTAAAGAGAATGTGAAGAGTCTTGCGGAGCAAATGGAGAGCAAAAGGACTCCTCGTTCTTGACTTTGTGAGCCTCCCAATGATGTTGGATAGCAGATCCGGGAAGGTATTCGGGTCCGATGGAAAGGGGTACCGTCAAAACTAGAGACAAAACGATCTATTATTTTTAATGGCCATTGCCACCTGAGAACAATATTCCTTTTATATTGAATGCCCTAACATTTTTGACATTTCTGACCGAATTTTATGAGTTGAAAAGAGAAGCTCGGCATAAATTGCTCAGTAGGATTCAGTATCATTCAGACTGGTATTCAACACTGATCTCACTACGCTCAAGAAGTATTCCCGTTCTGTTTCTCCTGATTTTCTCGAGTAGCTTTCATCCACTAAGAATAAATCCTTTCTTACTATCGATTTTACTCGCACGGCGACCTTCTATAGAATCAAAATATCGAAATATAGTTGGAGAATAAGATTCAACAGTGCTTCTCAATATTGTTGACAAATGACAACAACATCACCTACATCGTGCTATGGTTGACATAGCCCTTTCTGCTGAACCTTAACCATTCGTCGGATTCTAAGGTGGCGATGGTCGGTCAAATTTTGTCGAGAGCCATAATGGAGTTAGGGGAAATGCATCTTCAATGAGTTTCTGGTACTTACTGATATTTATAGTGATCCCTCTACCACCGAGGAGCTGACCGAGTTTTATCGCCATTGAGTATTCTCTTTTATCGGACTTCACCACCGTTTTTTTGTCTCGCATCTAAGTACCCACACCCCTTTCCCCATTTTCTATCCCGTCAAACTAGTCCTCATCANACCGTTCGGTAAGATTAGTGTTTCTACCAGAACCGAATTACGGAAGCAGTAGCATACCGCTTCAGTGATGAGGCTGGGATGCGCCGTGTCCTTCGACTGACATCGGTTGTTCATGTTTCTCTTTCAACGGTACTTCAGTTTTTGGGTTGTCTCATGTACATTTTCAAAGGCTTCAGTCTGCTTCATGGAGCGATATTTATCTGTAGTGCAATTTTGGGGCTCTAGTTGGCAAACATTACACTCGCCGCCACCTGAATTCATCTTACTTTTCAATGGAAGAAAACTGGCCAAAAACATCTTTCCTACGCATTCACCTCCTCCTTCAAACGCTTCGCTCTTAAGTTGTTTACAAATCGAATCGTTTTTTTTTTTTTTTTTTTGAAGTTGGGTTCCTTTACATGAACTCCGCCGTTGCCGTGTCGGTTTTTCTGAAGTAGAAATTTTTTTCCCGATTTTTTATGTGTTTTGACCTTAATTCGTATTTCATTCAAAAGCTTTTTTGCACTCTATTAGACTGTGCGTTTCGCGTTGATTTTCACTATGACTTAAACTGAGTTCTTTCCTGTTCAGTCGAAGGCAATTACATCAGCCAGCTCTAACCCGTCACTTCAGAAAATGTTTTTCTTTGAAAACGTGCCAAGTAAAATTCAAATCACATGCTGTTCGCGACCTTTTCTCAATAACATCAGGAGTTTGTAATGCCTCGGGCGTCAAACCAGTACCTCTTAGCGGGCAACCACTGAAATCTGGCAGTAAGAACGCTCCATGAA